GAGGAAGGATTGCGGGGGGCGGGGGAGAGGGAAAGGAAGGAATTAAGGGTGATTCTAGGTTTGGGGCTTGAGCAATTTGATAGATGATGGTGCCATTGATGGAAATGGGGAAGAATAAGTTTGGAAAGAGAACTCAAGACCTGGCTGGTGACTCCGATGGAATTTAAATGTTCTTGGGCCTCATTTGTGGCTTGAGCAGAACTGAGAACTTTCTCAGTTTTCAAGAGCTGCAAGGGATTTCTCTGGGCTTCAGGCAAGGTGACACCTTATGTTCAAACAGATGTGGTGCCTTCCCCAAGGATGATCTCAGTGACGGTATCTCACACCTGCCTCCTCCACGCATGACACCCTCCAACGAGTGGTTCCAGCTAGCTAACCCAAATTCCTCTTGCCACTACCTGATGTCTGTCCTCATTTCCCTATCTTCAACTAAGTTGTTGGTGGCTTCTCGTATTCTGTTTATCTGCTCACTAAAAGTCACAGAAAGCACAAGTCAGGCTATGTTTTATGACATGTGATCTGTCTAGCCCAGAGCTTATTGCAGACAAGGGCATGGGACCAGATTTTGGGAGATTATGAGAGTTGCTCCCCATCCTACCACCCTTCACGTTCCAAGTCCCTCAACCCATTTTGGGATCTAGCATCCTGCTTTAGCCACTTCTTTCTTGACCTGACTTCTATTTCCAGCCTGTACCATATCTTGGGTCACCAGTTCTATTTTTTGATTTCCCCTTATTTTTTTACTTAATGGCTGGAAATGATAAGATCCCCTTATTTATTACTCTCAAACCACCAACAAGGTCATGCTGCTCTTAGTAACCATGGTTGCTATTTATTAAACACTTACTAGGGAAACATGCACCCTGTCAAGCACTTCCCATGCATGATCTCATGTAAGAACACTATGAGGTAGGTACTAGTATTCCACTTTACAAATGAGTCTTGGAAAGCTTTGGCGAGTTGCCTGATGTCGCCAGCTAATGAGAGGTGGGGGCTGGATGAGACCCCAGGCGTCAGTCTCCACTACCAATGCCATGCTCTGGAGGAAGGAAGGGCAAAGTGTTGTGGCCTTTTGGAGGTTGAACATTCACCTTCCTATGGTGGCTAGCCAGGTGTGTCTGTGACTGGGGTGGGTGCGGCAAGTAAGGAGGGGATAGAGTCTTTGTTTTTGAAGCACTGGGCACTGGGGGCCAGGGTGGATTAGTAACTGCTGCTACATCCACTCCAGGAGCAATGAACCCACATGTGCTTCTGTGGGATTGACAGCGTGGACAAAGGAAGCTCTGTAGACACCCAGCTCTAAGGGTGATTTGAAAACGCTCGGCGGAGCAGAGAGGTTGTCCCAAGTCAGAATGTGAAAATATTCCTACTTTATAGCAACAAATAACAGGAGGATCTGAAGGCCTCCGTCTCCTCAACAAAGGCCAGGCCTCTGAGTCTGAAAGGGGGCACGCCCACAGGCAGCTGACAGGGTTTCTGCGTGATCCCATCCTTCCTACGGCTGAGGGAGACTCAGCTCCACACCTGCCCCATCCAGCAATGTCTCACCCCCCCTGGGCCAGGCCTAAACATCTTGACTCAGGTCCAGTCCTGAAATATCCCCATCATTAAGCAAAGGTTGGAAGAGGCCTGGCCTACGTCCGTTTTTTAAAGCTCCTAGTAATATAGAAAAAGAAAAAGAAAGAAAGAAAAGAAAAATACAAAACAGGGTGACTAAAATTGGTTTATATTTTTCAATGTTTAAATTAGCAAAATAACACCTTTTAATATAAAAACCAATATAATTGTGCTAGTCACAATATCACCGTAGGGTTTATAAACTCATCACAATTCGGAGTTAATGTGACCTGGTCCATGTTTCCCTGGGGCTGCAAAGCTCATTTGGAGAGAGAGCGCCTTGCTAGCTTCTGAGGCCCATTGTGGAGTCCCAGAAGGTGCAACTCAGGCCGAATGGAGCCTCCTGGGCTCCCTGTGACAGTCACTGCCCAGAGAAGGGGAGAAGTCCTGCTATTTTCAGTCAAGACTCCCACCGGCCAACTCCCCCTGCCCCCTTTACTATAAAATAAAGCTTTCAGATCAACATCAGCTGGATAGGGCAGCATGCATTATGGGAGGACCCAAATGCCTGAGCCATTATATGTGTAGTATTTCATGGCTCTTGAACTGCCCTGGGATGGTGTACGCATTATTCAACCTGCTGTCTACCAGTTAAAGTATTTGTCCAAGGTCACATAGCAAATCCAGGACCAGAACCCAGAACCTTTGACTGTAAAGCCTGTGCTCTTTCCAGTCTTCACATCTGGTCATGTCGTGAAGCCACATGAAGCCCAGGAAGGGCCCGGTGAGGCAGGGAGGGGACTGGGGCAGCCCCTGTCCTTCATGCCCCTGTGGTGTTGGGGCAAACTTTGACCTTTCTGGACTTTTTCACTGTTTCCTTCTCTTCCTGTTTCTTCTCCTGGCTGGCTTGCCCCCCTCCCCCTCTACTCCTTGCTTATGATACTTATTTTTCCATCCACAGCAAAACAATTCCCATCAAGTTAATTGATGGTGAGGCGTATGAGAAAAACAAGAATTACTTCATTGAGATGATGGGCCCCCGCATGGTGGATATGAGTTTTCAGAAAGGTGTAGTACCCTGTCCTCCACACTAACATTAACATTCTTCTCTCCTCTTCTGTTTCTTTCTTTCTCCAATCTGTTTGTCTCCTCTTCCCCTTTCTTCTACCTCTCTGGTTACCTTTCCCTTGTTTCCTTTCTTGTTCTCTTTTCCTCTCTCCCTCTTCTCTCTTTGCTTCCAGCTGTGTCCTAACATCTGCCAGCCTGTCACATGGTATCTGTAAGAGGGATGCTCAAGAGCCAGTGGTAATTTTTGTAAGATGGGTAAATGGATATTGGGAAAAACAGAGAGAGAGAGAGAGAGAGAGAGAGAGAGAGAGAGCGAGCGAGCCACAGCCCTGAGAGTATGTGTATGAGGCTCCCTAATTCTCCTAAATGGCATAATATACAGGAAAGAAAAAGACCAGATAGCACAGCACCAGGCAGGACAGCAGCCCTTGGAAATTCGCTAAGGCTCTCAGCACGAATTTTCATGGGGCCGCTATTCTCAGGGCTGAGCTTATAGTCCTTGGGCATTGAGAATCACTGTATTTAGATTTAGATTCTGTTTGTGGTTCTTCCCATTCCCCAGTGCAGGCCTTGGGAGCTATCTTCTCTGTTATATTCCCTGCTCTCAAGGTGTGTTTCTCTCCCTGGCCTTGACAGAGCTGAAAGCACAGGTTTGAGTCCCAGGTCTAGGTCAAAGACCTATTTGCAGTTCTCTGCTCTCCCTATGAGGAGCATCTAGATAAGGAGGCAGAGAGTTACAAGAGGGGGAAAGAGGATTCTGACCTGAGTGGAAGCTTCACCAAGAAGTCAAAGGACTTCTCAGAGTGGATGGAGCTTTTGTCTCCAACTTAAATGACCCATACACTCCAGGCCTCTAAGAGGGAAGCCGGAAAATCCTCTTCTGGATAGATAACGCTGTGGCGGGGGAGCTGCCGGTATTTTCAGCAATACACCTTCCCTGGCAGAACTGTCAATCATATCCCTTCAGGCCATGCCCATGATCACACAGCAGCCCGCTCCCATCACACAGCAGAGTCCCTGCAGTGGGACAACAGGCTGGGCTCACATCTCGTAGACAGCCCAGGGTCTGGGGCCTAGGGAGAAGGTCCCAGAAAATGCTTCTTGACGATCAGTGAGTTTTGTCTTTTCCACTAAGCAAGGTGTCCAAAAAAGTGCTAGAAAGGTGACCAAAAAGTGTACTCACACAAAACACACACACACACACACACACACACACACACACACACACACACACCAAGTCCTGTGCCTAACAAACCAACTCAGATCAGCCTACCTTTTCATACAAAGCAAAGATGAGCCTGTCTTTAAAATGGAGGAGGAACCTCAGAGGCTCTGATTAGACATTTTAGGCTATTGTTTATTAGCACTTCTTTGCCCTTTAGAAAGCATTTAAGTCCAGAGAGAGAGAGAAAAAAATCATGGCTCACTGTTGAGATCCACCCGGTTCCATGGAGGAGCCACACAGGGAGATCCAAGGGCCTGTGCCAGTCTCATGCCAGTCTTCAGGGGGGAACTATTTTCAAGAAAACTTTGATTCTCTGATGATTTGTTTTTAAAAGACACAGTGTGTTGTTGCAATGCCCAGAAATGAACTTTGTCCCTTGGATCCTTGGGATTTAAAATGTGATGATTTACATCATTTTCTTCACGCTTTCCCAAGAATGCATCAGGTGTAAATAGTAAAGGAGTCCTATATCAGATAGTATTAAACATCTTATGTTAGTTTCCACCATGGAAGCCCTGTGAGATAAAGAATGAGATCATAGAATTTCACCCTCCATACTTTCTCTCTCTCTCTCTCTCATTTCCCTTCCTTATCCTAATAAAATTTTCTTTATGAGGCTCACATGAGAAGTGGGTATATACACAAGGAATGGAAATAAATTCCTAGCTAGGTCCTGTTGACATATTTCCTGTGGTAGAAGGCTACTGGGTCATACCCAGTAGTTCACCTGCTGCCCAAAGAAATGCCACTTACCATGTGACACCCAGTGGAATGTGCTGCCCAACTCACTTCCTACTAACCATCAGCAGGATCTGAAATGACTCCTCCCCACCATCAACCCCTTCTCCCTTACCACTCCCTTGCTGTCCTTCTGGATCCCTTTCATCCCTTTGCCCTCTTTTCTTTGCCTCCTGGCTCCCTTTCCCTCTCATCCATAAGGACAGTTATGACCAAGAAGACAAAAAAGCTAAGACCATTTTTTAAACTAGCAGAACAATACAATCCACCTTAGTCTTGTCAAAGCCACCATGGCGGGACTGGGCTGCATGTGCCAAGAATGATGGGGGATGATTTTAAAGGCTGTGCTCCAAGTGACCAACCAATTTGCCGACCCATTCGACACACACTCTCTCTCTTGTTGTCCCTACAGGAAAACCGTAAGGGTTAAAATAGTAGATGAGGAGGAATACGAAAGGCAAGAGAATTTCTTCATTGCCCTTGGTGAACCGAAAAGGATGGAACGTGGAATATCAGGTGTGAGATTCTTTAAAAAAATAAATAAATAAGACAACAAAAAGAAAAAATTTTTAAACAAACTGAAAAGCAACAACAAAAAAAGCAACTATATTTTTTCTCCCTGTTTTTTGTCCCTTTTCCTCCTTCCTCCTTTTGACCAACATATTTTTTTTATTCTTTTCCCTCCTGTATTCTCGCTCTCACCCTGTTTCGGTATCATCTCTGCCTTCTCAGCCTTAGCTTATTTCCAAGTCCTCCTTTCCCACCTTTTGGGCAGCACTGCAGCCTCGGCTCCTCATTACCCTCATGAGTTACTTCCGCCTTGTGCTCCAATGATCTGATTACCACTGTCCTCTGCACTCTCCCCTGCAGCACCTCCCCCTCACACACAATAACCTGTAAATGTGGGGATTCCTTGGTGGGTGGGGAGGAGAAGAAAAAGAAAGGAATGTGATGCAATGCATGCTGGTGCCCCTTTCCTGCCTTCTTCCCCTCCCACCCCTCACTCTCTAGCCTGGATTGAATGGGGGAGGGGCTGATGGGGGGCTGGGGCCCATGTTGCAATGATGCTTTGACCGTTTTCTGCTGCGTTCCCCAACCTCCGTTGAATGCTTGGCAGGTTATTCACTTGCAGAGTGTCCCATAGGCCCCTCTGCCCTTCATGGAGGTAAGTGTTTTATCTGGCTATTTCACAGTTGGGTAGACAGTGGCATGAAAAGGTATGCCATTTGTCAGAGGTCACAGCTTCTGAGAACTCTTTGAGAGAGAGCTGGCTTCTGAGGTTGTCATGTAATCTGCAATCCTGAGCTATTCTTCCCCCCTTGGCATCCCACCCCATCCCATTCTACCTCTGTTCCTAGTCCAAGGTGGGGTACTTGATTCAGGCTACTTTAGGATAAGGCAATCCTTAAAGCAGAAAATTGAGAGTCTGCAAAGGGAAGGAAGTCTCCTTAGCCCTGGAGAAGGACTGATAATGGGCAGGCATAGAGTATTGACTTTTCCAATTGGAGAAGGGACTCTAAATGGTGTAGCTGGTGCTGATCCTTAAGAAACGGGTGCTGAATGGTTCACAGAAGGCTGCCTTTGCTTCATATCTGCAAATGAGCATATCACGCAGCTCCCAAGATAACCCGGATCCCACACCAGAGAAGTGGCCTCATCTCCTTTCTTCTGGACACACTGCCTCTTAGAATACCTGCCAGGGTTCCATTTCTAAGGGACTGGTTATGTTGCAGCCAAGGTAGAGGTAAGGAAAGATTTCTTCCCTTGAAGAAAATGATTGGAAGACACTACTTTGAAAGTGTTGGAGGAATATGTATGGGAATGGGTAAGGGTGCCCTTGGGAAATACCAAGAGGAGGACATTCTCACTCCCCTCCAAGAGACATATGCTGCTGGGAGTCTTGTGGAAGATTAAACAGACCTACCTGTTTGTCAGAAGGTGTGATGATTCTGCAATTACTTCATATTTGCAAGGACAGATCTAAGTGATTTGGCAACTATACTTCCAAAGAACTATATTTCACTGACAGGTCTTCTTCTCAGACCCATAGGCTTGATCAGTTCTCATTATCTCCTGTGGACTCACTCTGCAGACTGGACCACTTCTATGCCCACACTGGTTTGGACACACCTGGTGTTCTAGAAGCAGAAGCCCTCTCCATCTTCTATTACTCATTCTCTCCTTGGCCACTCAATAAGATGCTGCCATGAGCCTGACTGCCAAAGAGTGCTGGAAGAAAGAATAAAAAAAATCTCTGGCTCCATTGTTTCCCACATTGTATTCCTGCCAATCCTCCAATTTCTGCCACTGAGAATATTCTCAGAAATTGCCTCAACACCTGCCCTACCTCATTCGCACCTCCCTTGTGCATTTACTCCACATTCTCATGATTGGCTGTATGCAGCAGTCACTAGCTTCATCAGTTTTCAAGTCCCAAGAACTTAGGTGTAAATGAAAGCAGCAAAAGGACCATATCTTTCCAGGGTAGCTGGAAAGAAGGCAGGGGCTCCGGACAAGACGAATAGGTTAGAAGTCTGTCCATGACTTTATTCCACCAGTAAAGAGGCTCTTCTTTTCTGCCTCCCCAATAAATTCCTACCAGCAGCAGGACAGACAGTGACCTAAGATAAACCTTGTTCAAACACAGACACCCGTGGATTCTCTACATTTGAGGACCTCTTTGTGCCGCACTAGATTCTCTGTCCAAGGAGATGTCAGTAAATCCCTGGTGGAGCCTAGTCCTGGAGGAGGGCAAGGTAAGAAGACAAAGCTTTCATCAAGTCATCTGTGTGATATGCCCCAGTTCTTCCCAATGACCAAGATGCCAAGATGAAAGGTGCCAATAGGAAAGATGTCCCTTTCCTAGCCTCCTGTTCTGTTGTCTACCAGTATGGGGTTAATTTTTGGTTTCTTCAGTTCTTTTCATATTTTGGCATCAGACCATAAGGTGAAAGGTCATAAAGCTTGAATATCTAGACTCGGAATCAAATGAAAATCTATCCTGATTTCTAGAATTCCCTGCTGTTGTTGGAGTGAGAAATAGTACAGTGGAGATTGCTCTTCATTATCACTGCTGCATGGGAGAGTCTTAGGCATTCAGAATAGTCTCTGCATGGTCAAAATGACAATTGCACTCTCAAAAAAGAAAAGTAAAGGACTGGATTTGAAATAGGAGATTGTATTCTTGGCAAACAAACCAGAGGCGAGATGAAAAGTTTTGGACAAGCTGGGGGAGGAGAAAAGGGAGGATGACTAGGAAACACCGTTGCCCTGGAGTAGAGTAAGTATTGGGGTCTAGAGTGGACTTCTGAGAGCAATGCTGAGTAGCACAGTCAAGGGTGTTGGGCCTGGGCCTGGGCCTGGACATGGGAAGTCTCAGTTGGGAAGGGAAAGCACTTTCCCCCCCAAAATGGGTCCTGTTTGTGCGTCCTCTTAATACACTCGTGGGTTCCCTGCGACAAGCTGCCCAGATGCTTCCAGTTACTCGCAAAGCTGTGTTGTTTCCTGCTTGCCCCTGGGGTAGCTGAGCAGGGGGATAGAGGACGCTCACCTCACCCCAGGAATCAATGTAGGTAAAGGTTTAGCTTCAGCATCTCTCAGCAGCAGCAGCAGGAAAAACGCCCGGAGGGTATTGTGTCACTCAAAGCTGGATGAGATGGAACTCACTGACCCATCTTTAACTGCTAGGTGGAAGGTCTCAGATTCATGTTGAGAATGAGCAGAGAATGATGGAATTGCAGCTGACTGCAAGCCATCTGGCTGTGCTAGGGATGATGCTGGTGTTGGGAGGCATGTCAGACTGAAAAAGAGGGCAGCAGGGACCTTTAATAAGAGTTGCTCCTTGTCTGACCTACCGGGGTGCTTGGGTCTTTGGTCTCCACTGGAAATGGGGCCCAGGAGGGGCTCTTTTCATGCAAATTTATAAAAAGAGCAGAACGAACTATCTATCTATCTATCTATCTATCTATCTATCTATCTATCATCTATCATCTCATTGTAGTAAGGAGATCCATTGATCCATTACCCCTTGGAATTCCATATGGGAGAAACCAGAAAAAGTCAATTGATGTTCTCCCTGAATTTATACCATAAATATCCTGGATCCACATGTGTCTTCAGGGACTGTGACTATGGGATGATGGGTCACAGATCTGAGTTGTATTTCTAGAGAACTTTGGAACACAAAGGCCACCATCCAGAGATGTAGCACCACAGGATTTATGAAAAATATAATTGCCAAAGCATTTAGCAAATAGCAAACCTTTATTGAACAACTACTAGTTGCAGTGACCACCAGGCACAGGCGATCCAAAAATGGTAGGAGTGCAGGGCCCTGACTTCCAGGCTACATCTATTTTAAAAACACACACACTCACGGAAAACGTTCTACAGGTCTTTCTTTCAGGGGAACTCAAAGTTCTGGTAAAAGCAGTAGCTATGAAGCCATCTGTGGCCGTGGAAATGTTATGAGCACTGGGAGGCTGAGCATGATCTAATTATGAGGTTAGGGATAGAAGACAAAATGGGGCACGGTTCCACTGTAGTACATTACTCAATGCCCTGAGCTCCTGTTAAAGCCCCAGAATCATATTCTCCACAGATGAGCCAGCTACTCTGGCATGCTGGATTCTCACTCCTTTCCAGGATGGATGTGATAACCTGATTCCTTAGGAGATCACGAATGGCCAACCATGTCTCTACTTCACCCACTTGGTCCCCCATCCTCACTCCTCTATCCCTTGACCCTCAGAGCTGCAGAGAAGGTGTGGGTAAACCTGTCATAACTGCAGGGCCCTGGTGCTCAGCATTCTCTCCAGCGGCTCCCACCTCTTGCTGCTGCTGCTGCTGCTGCTGCTGCTGTGCATGCTCCAAGTGCTGCCTTTCGCATGTGGCTGCAGAGCTCTCACCTACTGAGCTCACTGCTTTTTCTGCTGCTGCAACCACAAAGCCTGGGGACACTTTCAAGATGGGACCTTAATGCTCTTTCCTTTTCTTTCTCCCCTTGTCTGGTATCCATTTGCAAACAGCGCTCCTGTTGTCTCCAGGTAAGAGGTGCCTTGCCTCCCTCTCCTTTCTACTTCTTGCCAATGCCGTTATTCAGGTTAAGACTAATGTCCTGTGGTTTACTTAACAGGAACTATAAGCTCAAGTTAACCTGACAAGTTCTCCCAAAAGCCAGGAAATTTATTTCCTCACTTGAAGTAATTGAAAGGAAATAGACAATGTCTTGAGCATCGTTTCTGTTGGTGTTCGTGGGCAAAGGCATAGGCTGGTCCTTTCTGGGACCAGGAAGGGATGGTGGATCATCAGCTTCTCTCGAGTCTTCATTTATCTGTCATCTCAGACTGTGAGGCAAGAGAGATGAGAAGTTGGAGCTGAATCTCCCAATAGGATCACAATGACATTTGAAAGAAAATACTTTGATCTTGAGCAATCCAGGAAAAAAGAACCAAGAGCTGCTGTGAAACCGTGAAAAACAATTTTTTAAGAAACTGGAATTTTACTGATCCTGGAGATCTTCCATGTTAGCACAGCTGAGGTTTAAGTTGCTAGAACTTTGATTTATTTGTCACCGATACTTGAAGTCGAATGTGCTATGAATAGCAAGGAGAATTAAGATACAATGTGGGGTGGGGATAATTGTCTGGCTGGAAATAGAAGTTTCAGAGATTGTCTTTTAGAGGGATTCTCATGCAGAATCTCGAGCCTGTTGTAGGACATACACCTACTTGGACAGTGTGCTTGGATCAGTGGGGTCCAATGGTAAACAGCTAGCTGTGAGCAGATAGGAAAGCATGTCCATCTCATCCAGCGACACCATAGCTCAGTGATGGCGAACCTTTTGAGCTCGGCGTGTCAGCATTTTGAAAAACCCTAACTTAACTCTGGTGCCGTGTCACATATAGAAATTTTTTGATATTTGCAACCATAGTAAAACAAAGACTCATATTTTTGATATTTATTTTATATATTTAAATGCCATTTAACAAAGAAAAATCAACCAAAAAAATGAGTTTGCGTGTCACCTCTGACACGCGTGTCATAGTTTCACCATCACTGCCATAGCTTGTGGTGCAGGCGAAGTGAGCACTATGAGATGGCTCAATATATTTTGAAAGAACATTTTACATTTTATAAGTTCTTTGAACATACGAAAAATTCAGGTCATTTAAGAGGCAAAGCATCTTACAGAATTCATTGGTGTTCAAAGCCACCGATTCGCTACTCCCCGGGTTTCAGAAAGGGGAAGTGTACATAGTAAGGACATTTGCCTCCTTGGAACCGTAAACAAAAAATGTAGGCAAACCCCTGCATTTTCAGTTCCTGAAAAATCAATGACTCCAGCATCCTTGGCCTCTTGTTCCTTCTTCATACCAATAGGATAAGAACTATTCCAAACCCCATATTTTCCACTAGTCTCCCAGGGTATTGATGTCTAGCACTGGGTGTTCCTTTTCCACTTCACTCATCCTCTTGCCTGAGAAGGTATTTGGGCTTCTTTGTTCTAACTTTTGCCTCCACCTCCCACCAACCATACATAAAAAAGACTATGATTTAACTTAAGCTTCTTTATACTTTTAGCATATTTGCACAAACACGAATAGAAGCTTAAAAAGGAAAAGAAGGTGTTACAGTATTTCCTAGATCTTTCAATCCAAACCTGCTAAACCTGTAATTTAGGAGCCTTTGCTTAGACTTTATATTCACTGGAAATTTTAAATCTTTGTTTGAATTTTTCTGAAAGGACAGGCAAGCATGACTAACAATGCCTGGTGGTGAAAGATAGAGAGTAAATACGTTCATTCTGAGCTACTGCACCAAGTGCAGGTACCTGGGAGTGAGAGCACGGGTGGCATCGCCCCACTTCTTCCCGAGGATGTCTATAGAGCATCCCTGGCAATTTATTCCTGTCAGGCCTGGCAAGCTCTTTGTTCTTCCAATATTTGCTCGGTTTTTCATCCTATTCTCTCTACCTCCCTCCCTCTTCCTCTCTGCCTCTCTCTTCCCCCTCCTCCTTTTTCTAGATTTGAGAGTTTATTTAGTCAGTCTGAATATCAACATCACTTGCCATTTATTCTCTTTACTTGAAATTCTGAAGAGTCACATAAACAAGTGATCAGAATCACTATGGTCTTTTAGGTTTGAGATTTATTACTCCAGAAATTAATTTGAACTTAAGGAATGATTATTACAAAAATATAAAAAGGGAGGAATTATTATAAAACCAAGACACTAAGTAAGAGTTGATTTAAATGGAA